TTAAGAAAATTACTTGCCAAAAAATTCCTTATAAAATCATCAACCTTCATGAGTTTTCATGAAGCTTTATATGAAATTGACATTCAGAGTTAAGAAAATGTTTAACCGGGTATTAAAAGATGCATAGCTTTGCAACACTGTGTAAGACCATGAAGAGCTCCATATTTCAAACTGTGCATATTTTGACAATTAGCCAAGGTGATGAAGCTGTAAAATATTTCATTGATATATACCTGTTTGGGTACACTTATTTTTTCTGACTGGGGATTTTCTTTGGAATGAGTCTCTTCATCTTTAGTAGTCAAGGGTGCATTTGTATCCTCCTCATCTTCAAAATCATCACTGTAATTTTCTGATGAAAATAGGTTTAAAAAATACAAGGATCACACTGTCAAAAAAGTCAAATTCCAGAAAAGGACTGTTGATTTCCAAAGAAGAAAAGTCTGCATAAAAATAATTTCAAGAAATATTAACATAATGATACCTTTAAAGAACATAATTTTTTGGGAAAAATTTAATGAGAATTCAATTCACAAGATTATCTTAAGCTTTTTTGATGTTTTATACTTGTAAATAATTCTGAGACTTTTACATTTTAAATATTCCCACTTCCCAGTCCCAAAAAAATGCGACCGTTGGAAAAAAAAACCAAACCCGTTGCCATTGAGTCAATTCAGTAGCACACCTTTAATAATTTCTTAGTAGCTCGGATTATAATTTAGGTAATCCCACTCTATTTGTTCAAAGCTATTTTAAAGACTATATTATTTTCCTTTTAATTATTTTTCTCTTACTAATGTCTTTATTACCTAAATTAGAAACTATATATTTCTATAAATATTAAAAATTTTAAAACCAATGAAATTACCTGCTAGTTCTTCCTGGATAGATTCATTCTCACGTTCATCTTCAGTTAACTCTATATTGGCTTGATTACTAGAAAAACATTTAATTGAGCACTACATATTAATATATTCTCATGTAATCCTCTGAATATATTTTTTGAAAATCTCTATAATCGTATCTTTCATCTCAAATACTCTTGTTCTATCAAAAGTTAAATATTTGGGTATTGTAGGAAAAACATTTCAAAAATAAAGGCTCTTCGAAGCTTAAGACTAATCGTAGCTGTCAAGGTAATGCAAAGAAAAAATGCCAGATTTCTTAATTTTATACAAAAATATATACAATTTTATACATAAATAAATACATTTACATGTACACGTCACCTCATGATCCAGATATTTCAATACAAAAGATTAGGAAGAGACCATAAGCTCTGAGAACCAGTAAAGTCCACATGGAGGCCAGAAACAATACCAGGCTCAGTATTTACACGCTATTCAACAATTTAATTCTGAAATGGAAGCTGTATAGGCGTCTTAAACTAAGAATCTCAACAAGGGGACAATGGAGCTTGAGTAAGTTTTAATTATACTGGATATATTAGTTCTTATACTACTTTCTCTCAAACCAAGGAATTGGCAGAAAAGACAGCAGTTCAAAGGGGCAATAAAAATTGTGGCCAATAAACCTGTGCATGCTTAGTCTGTGTTGTCACTGTTGGGAGAGCGGATCCACTACGGGCCCTGAGTATCCTTGCACGTTCTTGCTCAGTATGCCGAGAACGCAAGGCCCTGACTGCCCTTTCCTGGGCCATTTCTCAAGATTGTGAATTTAGTGAGCAACCTTAAAGAATGAGGTAATGTTTTTGCCCAAAGAGCAGGCTTGCTTCCACTTATATAAAAGCAGTACATTGCCCATGCTCAGTGTTCCTCTCCTGTAACATAACCCACTGCATGTACAGACATCCACCAGGGGCCCTTTGTGTCACCCTTGTGGGACCTGGGAGGCATGGGGTGCCAACCCAAATGAACATGATACTCTGGTACTACTTTTGTTGTCAGAAATAAAGTCCTTTGTCTTTGACCAAGAAATCTTGCATCTATTGTTAGCATCTGTAAAACTGGCAGGCTAACTTGTTAGCTTATAAGTAGGGTAAAAATCTTAGATCCTGCTAGGTTCACAACAGTCATGGGACTGCTTTATCCACTGTCTGTGAGAAACTAATCATCTTCAGGAGATTAAAAAATCAAAACCAAACCCATTGCTGTCGAGTCGATTCCGACTCATAGCAATCCTACAGGACAGAGTAGAACTGCCCCATAGAGTTTCTGAGGAGCAGCTGGTGGATCCGAACTGCCAACGTTTTGGTTAGCAGTCGAGCTCTTAACCACTGCGCCACCAGGGCTCCTTGAGGAGACTAGGCATTCTAATAACCAGAGGTTATGATTCTCCTGATCTTTAACTTAATTATACTTTTGCGTTCTTAAAATCCTAAATAAAATTGTATTTTGATTTCCATTTACAATAAAAAAAATTAAGTGGGTAACTGAAAATGAGGAAATTAAAGGTCTCAGGTTCCATTTCACAAAAGTCTTGAGAAATGTCAAAGGTCTACTGTACTTAGAGAGGACCAGTTCAGTCAACTGGTAGTTTCCAGAAAAAAATGAGGTTTCCTGATAATCATTCTCAAAGGTAACACCCAGACCAAACATGTTTTCGCTCCCTGGTTCCCCTTTCCCTTCCTGTTCACTTTTTCTGCATTTATAACAGCTATCTGGGCTCTCTTTACTTAATCTGTGGAAAATTACTTAATAAATAAATCCCTTTCTTATTAAGGCCTTACTGACAATGTGCTATTAGTCTCAATAGTATCTCAGGCATGAAATTCCAGATATCTGAAGGCAGACTGAATTATCAAATACAAATCAATCTACCCCACTGTCATGGATTGAATTGTGTCCCCCAAAAATATGTGTCAATTTGGCTAGGACATGATTCCTAGTGTTGTGTGATTGTCCACCATTTTGTCATCCAATGTGATTTTCCTGTATGTTGTAAATCCTACCTCTAAGACATTAATAAGACAGGATTAGAGGCAGTTAGTTAATGAGTCAGGATTCAATCTACAAGATTAGATTGTGTTTTAAGTGAATCTCGTTTGAGATATAAAAGAGAGAAGCGAGCTGAGAGACGGGGGACCTCATACCACCAAGCAGCAAGAACTGGAAGAATAGCATATCCTTTGGACCCAGGGTCCCTGTGCTGGGAAGCTCCTTGACCGAGAAGACTGATGCCAAGGACCTTCCCCCAGAGCCAACAGAGAGAGAAAGCCTTCCCCTGGAGCTGGCGGCCTGAATTTGGACTTCTAGCTTACTAGACTGTGAAAGAATAAATTTCTCTCTGTTAAAGCCATCCACTTGTGGTATTTCTGTTATAGCAGCACTAGCTAAGACACTCATTCACACATAAGAAAAACCCTGATAATAATAGAGAATTAAAAATAATTCTTTTAGCAGAGTTAAAAATAAGATTTAATTTTTCCTTTTATAATGTTTACCCATTTAAGTCCGTGCATATACCAGCCTTCAAAAAATATAGAAAAACACAAAAATCATTTAAGTTTAATAATTAGTTTATATTTTATTTACATACCTAAGTAAAGCTTTAAAATGAGTGGAGTCATTAGAATCCAATTCTTTATTTAATCTTGAATAGTCAATGGAAGATGTTAAACCTTTCTCAAGTCTGGCAAAAAATTGGTTTTTCTCTTCTTGTTCTTCTAATGTGTCCAATCCCAATCCGAGAATACTATGATTAAACTCAGAAACTACTAGCTCTAAGTGGAAAGCACAAATATATTTTATTACCATGTGGAATTTTGATAAAATTCATTTTTGTGATACATATATTGACATTACATAGTAAATAAAACATCTTTTAGAAATGGATAATATCCTCTCACTACCAAAAATAGACTTATATTCATAATCAGTAAGGTTATAAGGCCTCTCTAAAGGTCTAATTTTAAACCTCTGAGAAAGATGTTAAATCTGTCTCCGTGCTTTAGCAAAGGAGGCTTCAGATAGTTATGAGTGAATTTTAAAAAATCTTGAATATAACCATAGTGATTAATAACCTATCAACCAATATCACTCACATTTCTTACCATTTGTTTCTAAGCTGTCAATACTTAAGATTGAAGTTCCGCTGCTCTTAAGAAATTGTATCTTTTCAGCAGACTCCTCTTCTGTTTCCATAATAGGCTGAGAAGTCTTCCTTGTTTTCAAATAGCTTACATTTGTTCCAAGCAGTCCTAGGAATGGGATTTAATAGTTGGATATTTATGTTCAAAAAAACTGTTTTAACTACTCTGCTAACACAGTAATACTGTTATGGTAATATTATATAGAGTACCTACAAAATAAATCTGCTCTAGTAAATAAAAATCAACCATATCTAAAATCTACAAAAGAAAAATTTTAATTCCATTTGAGTACAGTGTATCTTATTAAATAAAATATTTAAAAAATTAGCATAATGAACAAGGCTTTTTTTATTAGTTTGAAGCACAGGTACTTAACAGTATACTATACCACTTTAAAGACTATCTTCTGCCTTATTCCCCTTGTTTTTACTTTACTTAGAGCATTTTTGTTGCCTGACTCTTAACACTACTGGAAATACATTGTGGATAGTATGAACCAGCAGAGCAAAGCACGAAGAAAGTAGGTACAATTTAGGATAATAAAGGAGGATATAAAAGATCTTTTACTAGTGCCAATACCATTTCAAGAAAATAGAAAGGAAAAATTAAATGGTCTTTCATAGACATTGGTTCCAAACCACTGGGAACACTGGCTGACTGGAAGTGTGGTCCTCACACCAGGATGTGTGGGTACTGTGCGGGGAGGGGAGGCCACCACAATCACAGCATTTTGGAAGGTGCAATTTTCTCTAAGGCTAATATATAAGACACATGTTAAAAATGTTTCACAGCTGGCTAGATATTAGATGATCTTAAGGAATTATTATCAATCTTTCTTGGATAATAGTATTATGGTTCTATTTTAAGAAGAGAGCCCTTATCTTAAGAGATATACTTTGCAATACTGAAGTGGAATGCTGTTGGAGATTTGCTTCAGTACAATCCAGTGGTACGGAAGAGGGAGATGGAAGGGGATATAGACGAAACGTGACTGGCCATGAATTAATAATTCCAATAGGTAGGCAATGGGCATGTATTGATTTGATAAAATCTGCCCTATGTGATGACATTAATACCTTGCTAGAATATTCTATTAAGTCATATTTAGATGGTAATATACAAGTATATTATTCATCACCTTAATTTGAGTAAATATAAATTATCTCAATGTAAAATAACCTAACTGTGCAGAAACAGGATCTCAATTACATAATAAATATAATAAAGTAAAGTAATATGAAAATCAATTCAAATCTCAAAAATCCACACTATGAGTATTTTTTTCTTTGTATTTTTAAAGTGCAGTAACAAAATTCAGAATTAAAGGTCGTGACTGACCCCTTGTGGTCAAATAATTTGAAACTAAAAAAGCCGCAATATTTACCACCATCTTCAAAATCATCTTCAGTTATCCACCATGGCACTGTATCTTTCTTCTTTTCTTCTTTTTTAGTCTGTCTAGGTGTTTTGTTTGAATTTTCAAAAGAATCATCTGAAAGCTGAATCAGATACAAGTTGATGAATTCTAAAATACATTTAAAATTAGAGAATCCCAGATTCATATGTTTCTGTTAATACTGAATTCAGTTTACCACATACATAAACAATATTCTCATATTCTATAATGTATTAAATTAGCATTTCTAAATATATGTGACAAATACAACTTAAAAATCAAACATATACCTCTGAACACCTACTTCGTATCTAACTAGAATTAAATAACTACCCAGGGAAAACAACAATAACAAAAGAAGTAAAATTCGATCAAGCCAGAAAAATTGAGGAAAGGAAATATAGAAGGCAACAATCCTAACTTCCAGACATTTTCTAGGGTCTGAGGATAAACGACAGTTGATCAAAATTACCTAGGACCACTCTAGAAGAATATGGAATTCCAAGACCAGGAGGAGTTGAGTTTCAGGAGATAGAGAGGATGACAGTGTTTACCAATGGAATCATCACTTTGTCACAAATTTACAAATTCAATAAAACTTTAAGAAACTCAAAAGTTCTTGTGTGTGTGTGTGTGTGTGTGTGTACAGCAGACTTAATGCATACTTACATACAGCTTCAGCATTCCTTAAACCAATCCTTTGTCAGGGCCCTGGTGGTGCAGTGGTTAAGTGCTCGGCTGCTAATTGAAAGGTCAGTGGTTCGAACCCACCAGCTACTCTGAGGAAGAAAGATGTGGAAGTCTGCTTCCATAAAGATTTACAGTCTGGGAAACTCTCTGCGGCAATTCTACTTTGTCCTATAGGGTCACTATGAGTTGGAATCGACTCGACTCAACGGCAATGGGTTTTCTACTCTTCAGGTCCAAATTTTACTACAATTCTTAAGTTTCCTACCTTACTGTCAATCTATGCCCCTCACTGTCAGCCAGTAATCTGACCTCCCTCTTCACAAAGACCTTCAGTTAAACACCAACTTCCTTCCCCTTATTCCACCACTAAATTTACCTGTTAGGGCATTTCTTTCATTCCTCTCTCAGAAGGGATAATTCTTTCCTCCACTCTAGGTAGAATCTTCAGAAGGGTCACTTCTCACCTCTCTAGATTCTTACTTCCTTGGTTACCCCATTTCATTTCTGTATCTTCACAAACCTGCTCATCACTGCATCCCCCGGTGCCTAGCACAGCACCTGGGGCAATTGTGGAATGAAAAAATGAACACTGAAGCCTACTCTACTATTAAAAAAAACAAAGAAGGAAAAGTTCCTTATTTTATCTGCTTTTTAATCTATCACTTTTCCTTTATATACCAACTTTCTGAGTTCACTGCTCAGCCCCTTAGATTTTGGTTCCCATCCCAAACAGCTCTCCTCCACAGAGCAACCCATTGCTGTCAAGTCGATTCCGACTCATAACGACCCTATAGGACAGAGCAGAACTGCCCTATAGGGTTTCCAAGGCTGTAAATCTTCATGGAAACAGATCGCCACATCTTTCTCCTGTGGAGCAGCTGGTGGGTTCAAACCACCAACCTTTCCGTTAGCAGTGGAGCACTTAACCACTGCCACCACCAGGGCTCCTTCCACCTACCGAGGCTTTAAATGTCACAAATAAAGGACCACTGTCAGTTAGCCTCCCCTCCCTGACATCATGGAATTTGATAGTGGTGACTAACTCTTGCTTCTTAAAACTTTCTACCTGTGACTTTAGCACCATCACTTCCTCACACCCATCTATTTTAATAGCTGTTGACTCTTTTGTCCATTTAATGAGGTGTCCCTAAAACCAAAAAAAGAAAAACCACCACATCTGTTGCTATCGAGTCGATTCCGACTCACAGCGACCCTACAGGACAGGGTAGAACTGCCCCATTGAGTTTCCAAGGAGCAGCTGGTGGATTTGAACTACTGACCTTTTGGTTAGTAGCCGAGCTCTTAACCACTGCGACACCAGGGCCCTGAGGCGTCCCTAAGACTATGCTCTTGGTCCTTTAGCATCATCATTCTACACAATTTTTCTGAGGAAACAAGTAACATTTACTAGGTACTTGTCCTATGTCAGGGTCTGTACTCAGGTTATATTGCTCAATCCGTCCAACAATCCTGAGGGATTCATTCATGGGAAAAGTCAGAGAGGTTAAGCAATTTGTCCAGGTTTCCGGTGTTAGTAACTATTAGTGCTGGGATTCAAACTCAGGTCTGACTCTAAAACCTGTCCACTTTCCACTTTACTATGTAGTCCCCCAACTAGGACACTGTTACCTGGGTGATCTTTTTAACTTCCCAGATGACCACACACATACACATTTCCAATTGCCAACCAGGTAACTCCACCTAATAATCTATAAGGATGTCAATTTTAAAATGTTCAAAAAGAACTCAATGTCTTTTCGGAAGCTGAATTTCTGAACTTAGCGAATGGTATCACCTTTCACAGTATATCTTGAAACGTTTCGTTTCTCTCTTCTCCCCAAATCCCACTGTTTACCATATCCTGATAATCTGCCTTAGACTGAGTCTATTCTTCCTAGTCTCCATGGACACATCAGAGTGTGGAAGAAGGAACAGAGGTTTTTGGCGCCAGACTGATCTGGGTTCAAATTTCAACTTCAACAAATGCTAGTTCTGTTGCTCAGGAGAAGTTACCCCTCTAGGCTTCAGTTTATTCATCTGTAAAATATGCATAGTACCATTGACCTTGCAGGGTGCTAGCAAAGATAAGAAAACGAAATGGACAGTACCTACCCTACTGTTTAATACACAATAAGTGCTCTCACTTTAGACAGTCTTTCACATGACTTTCCCAGTTAGCATCATTAAAAACAAAATAAAATTTTAAAAGCTGGTTCACAGATAATAATGGCGTTGGTGAGGATGTGGAGAAATTGAAACTCTAATGCTGTATTGGTAAGAATGTAAAATGGAGCAGCTGCTTTGGAAAACAGTCTGGCAGTTCTCAAAAGGTCAAACAGAGTTACCATAAAAAAACCAAAAAACCAAACCCACTGTGATGCAGAAATTCCACTCCTAGGTATACACACAAAAGAAATGAAAATATATGTACACGCAAAAACTTATAAACAAACACTCATAGCAGCATTATTCACGATAGTTAAAAAGTGGAAAGAACCCAAATGTCCATCAACTGATGGACAGATAAACAAAATGTGGTATATTCATACAATGGGATATTATTCTGCCATAAAAGGAATGAAGAACTGATACATACTATACAACATAGATGAATCCTGAAAACATTATGCTAAGTGAAAGAATCCGTCACAAAAGACCACATAGTGTATGATTCCATTTCTATGAAATGTTCAGAATGGGCAAATCTTTAAAAACATAAAGTAGAACAATGGTTGCCAACCAGAATGCTCCTTAGAAGCAAGGATGGTGAGATTATGTCTCACATACTTTGGACATGTTATCAGTCCCTGGAGAAGATACCATGCTTGGTAAAGTAGAGGGTCAGCGAAAAAGAGGAACACCCTCAAGGAGATGCACTGACACAGTGGCTGCAACAACGGACTCAAGCATGACAACGATTGTGGGGATGGTGCAGGACTGGGTAGTGTCTGTTCTTTTGTACATAGGGTTGTTATGAGTCGGAACCGACTTGACAGTACTTAACAACAACAGGGCTGGGGAGGTTGTATGGGAGAAAATGAAGGGCAATTGCTAACGGGTATAGGGTTTCTTTTTGGTGTGATGAAAATGTTCTAAAATTGATTGTGGTGATGGTTGCATAACTCTGTTAATATACTGCAAACCATAGAATTAAATAATTTAAATGGGTAAATTCTATGATATATGAATATACCTCAATAAAGCTATATAAAAAAATCTGGTTATACCACTCTCCTTAAAAATATGTTTTGGTTCCTCCTTGGCTTTACAATCTGGACTCAATTTTAAGTTCCAAACTCACATCCACTAGCCCCGAGAGCCTATGTTTCACCTATAATCAACCATGCAGACAGGTTAGCCAATACAAAATTGTATACAGTAGTACAGCTGTCAATTTTCTTCATACCTGAACATTACTGTGGACAAGTCCACAGTGACCATCCCTCCAAAGGGACTTACTTATATTAATAATAGTATATATATATATGTATACCCACACATTATCATATAATTTGTTCGAACAATTATTATCAAAGCGACTAAAGAAGTTAGCATAAAATCACAGTTTTTCATTGTTAAAAATGAAACAGTGTTTTACTCAAATCTCTAATATAAGAACTTTTAAGAGTATGAATGTGAAAGCATCTGTGTGTGTGTGTATGTTTGTGTTTTGGAGGGATAGTAAATGAAGTGTAGAAGGAACAAAATCTTTCTAAAAGGCCTGTAGAGCTATTTAACTTTTACAATGAAGATATATTTTATAAATTTAATTTTCAAAACATGCCCACATTTCACATTTTAAAAATCAGTTATTCAAATGGAAAGTGAGACTCACAGCCTAAGCACCTAGGACATCCTAGCATTTGGTAGATGCTTTGTTTAATCCTTACAACAATCCTACAAAGCATGTGTTATTTTTCCTGTTAAACAGATAATAAAATTGAAGTTCTTTCCACTATACCAAACTCCCATCATGAGCAGGAACATCAGTGTAATAGCTTAAAATGTGTCTCTCCTTAGTACTGTGCAACGTTCCTCCATTTATGTAAATACACAGGATGTGGTATAACCCTCTCACTTTTCATTCAGCAAATATTTATTAGACATTTATTAGATACTGCAGATAATAGTGATGAACATGCAATCATCGCCCCATAGACCATATATTCTAGTAATGACAGGCAGAAAATAGACCCACACGAGAAAAATAATGGACAGTGTTAAGTTATTCAAAGAAATAAATATACAGTATACCAAAAAGTGGCTTGGTGGTTACTTTTTACTGGTTACCAGGAAAAACCTCTCTGAGGTGGTGACATTTAAGATGAGAACTTCACTAGCCAGGTGAAGAATAATGGAATAGCACTGTTGGCAGAAAGAACAGCTAATGCAAAGCCCCTCATGGGGAATGAGCTTGGCATGTCTAGGGGAGACAAAAGGCCACTCTAGCTTAAGTAAAGTGGATGAGGGGTGTCTTAGTCATCTAGTGCTGCTCTAACAGAAATACCACAAGTGGATGGCTTTAACAAAGAGAAATTTATTTCTTCAGAGTAAAGTAGGCTAAAAATCCAAATTCAGGGTGTCAGCTCCAGGGAAAGTCTTTCTCTCTCTGTCGGCCTTCTCATCAATGTTCTCCCAGACTAGGAGCTTCTCTGCGCAGGGACCCCAGGTCCAAAGGACACGCTCTGCTCCTGGCACTGCCTTCTTGGTGGTATGAGGTCCCCAATTCTCTGCTTGCTTCCCTTTCCTTTTATCTCTTGTAATGAAAAAGGTGGTGCAGGCCACACCCTAGGGAAACTCCCTTTACATTGGATCAGGGATGTGACCTGGGTAAGGATGGTATTACAGTCCCACCGTAATCGTCTTTAACATAAAATTACAATCACAAAATGGAGGCCAACCACACAATTTTGGGAATCATGGCCCAGCCAAACTGACACACACTTTTTTGGGGGGACATAATTCAAACCATGACAAGGGGGAAGAGCAGTATACAATCTAAGAAGTAGACATGAGCGAAATCATCCAGGGTAAGCCAGGGTAAGGAGTTTGAATTGTATTCCACATGTATGGCATGTCAAGAGTGTTTTATGCTGGGGAGTGACAGGGTCTGATTTATGTTAGAGATCATTCTGGCTGCAGTGTGGTAAAAGGAATGCTGAGACATCAGTTGGGAACTATTGCAGCAGCCCAGGTGAGATGATGGTGGCCTGAATTAGGATGGTGGTAGTGGAAAGGGAGAGAACTGGAGGGATGACTGGCTGTATTTCAAAGGTGGAGTCAACAGAGCTTGGTGATGAATTGATTTTATCTTAGAGGTGAAAGAGATAACTGAAGGACAAGTCTCTCATAAGACACATTTACAATACAGTTTTTAAAAATATAAACTTACCTCTTTCATAAACTGTTCGAACTCTTCATCTAGCTCTTCTTTGGAATAGTGAGCCATAATCAATAATTTCCACTTCTCAAAGTAAACATTCCTAAGTATTTAGAAAATTGGAAACTCTAGATGACAAAAGATATAAACTATTTTGAGGCAATCTATATCACATCATGAAAACAACTAGACTTTAGATATTTCCCTTATGACTTAGCAAATATCTACAATTATTGGCCAGTAAGCTGAATTAGAGATTTGTAATTCATTAAACAAATTTATTTAGAAAAGCAGCTTTCACATTGCCTTGTACTCAGAGTCCAGAATTATATTTTCATCTGTTAACATCCAGTTGTTAAAGTGTGGGCTCTACAGTACCTCCTAAATCTCTATGTATTCGTGTGTGTATAGGGGGTGGGGAGGATGAGGCTTAAGGGGGTGGTTACTTAATTTCCCTCAAACAAACCAGGTCCTCACAAGGAATCTTTCAAAAATCATAAAAATAGAAATCCAAAGGACCATTTCTTACTTGCAAAGCACAGAACCAATTTTGTGCTACCTTACTATTCAGCTATTTTACAATCTATAGTAATAGTTTTTGCAAAAGAGATTCTTTCCAAATAAGGGGATGTTTCCAAATATAGACATGGACTTTATTAAGAAGACTCAGAATCTACGTAAAATAAAGTTAATGGAGCATACAAATCAGCACGAATTGTTTCTTTTGGAGGGAGGGAAAGGCAACGAAAAATATCCAACTGAACATCTAAAGTAAAACCCTAACACTTGCAATGCAAAGCTCCCCTCCCACCTTAATGAACCCAACTTCAAATCTGCTCCAGCTTCTGGATTCTAACTCCTTGAGGGAGCTCAAACTCGAGCTTTCTTTTGCAGAGTTGGAGGATGTGAGGATCCAGACAATATCTTGCCCAACGTGCAGAATACCTCCTTCCCCTCACTAGTATTTCCGATCAGTTCAAGGTGCGTGCGGTAAGGTCTCAGCCGCCAAAGGTTGGTCAGAGGCGGATCCCACCGAAACGGTCCTCAGCCCGGCACGGTTCCGGCTCCAGGAAGCGCGGGTTCTGAAAGTGGCGGGAAGACAAAGAGTCATTTGCAGTGTAGCTCGGGAGGAGGAGGGGAATGACCCAGGAAACTAAAGCCCAGAGGACTGGGAACGAAGCAAGATCGAGGGGACGGTGATCCCAGCGGGAAGCAAGTGTCTATGCCTCACTTACCCTGGCCTCTGAATTCGACGCTTTTCAGGAAAGTCTAGAGGGGCCCAGTAGTTGCCAGGGTAACAGACTTCAGCCACTGGGCTCCGAAGTCACATGACCCGAGTTGGTCACGTGGCGCGTGGGCAAAGCGGCAGCTGTTAACTTGCCAATAGGTCAGTCACTCTGTGAGCAACAATTATAACAACCACGGCTCAGCAGGGCAACCTGGTAGATAGGAACTGTCGCTGCTGCACCAGTACGTTCTCTCTGACTTTCTCTGCACTTCTTGGAACAGTGGATGGCAGCAAACAGGCTACTGACGAGCCCGGACAGAGGTATGATGGGTGTTGTAGGCCTAGCCGGTGGCTTTCTGGGAAATGTAGTTTAGTCCCCCGTTGTCGTTTTTGCCTGCTGCCCAGAAGGTTAGGACTCACAGCGAACCTATAGGACGAAGTAAAACTGCCCCATGGGGTTTTCTAGGCTGTTATCTTTACAGGAGAAGGTCTTTTCTTTCTCAGTGCCACTGGTGGGTTCCAACAGCCCCACTGTGCCACCAGGGATATTTTTCGCACCTGGCATCTGCTTTTCCCAACTTTATCCATCGTTATCATTGGTGCTATCTGCTTTTCAAATGGAAATCTTGAAGGAATTTAATTTATTGCATTTCCTGTACGTGCAAAACTCTGTGTGACGCATTGTGACAGAAATGCAAACCTGTGAAAAGCAGCTCTGTTGTCGGAATAGAGACTGTTCCACCATCTAGTGGATGAGAAGTTGAAAATACACACACACCAACACTCATAAGGATATTGCTACTCGTTTCTAAACATTAAATACATGTGTATGTATGTATGTACTATGTGTGTATATATATGTTGTTGTTGTTAGGTGCCGTCCAGACGTTTCCCACTCATAGCCACCCTATGTACAACCCAATGAAACACTGCCCGGTCCTGGGCCATCCTCAAAATTGTTGTTATGCTTGAACCCATTGTTGCAGCCACTGTGTCAGTCCATCTCTTTTTCGCTCACCCTCTACTCTAACAAACATGATGTCCTCCAGGGACTGGTCCCCCAGATAACAAAGTATGTGAAACAAAGTCTTGCCACCCTTGCATCTAATGAGCATTATGGCTGTACTTCTTCCAAGACAGATTTGTTTGAACTGGCAGCCCACGGTATATTTAATATTATTCACCAATGCCATAATTCAAAGGCATGAATTCTTCGTCAGTCTTCCTTATTCATCATCGAGCTTTCACATGCATATGAGGCGATTGAAAACATCATGGCTTGGGTCAGGCGAACCTTAGTCCTTAAAGTGACATCTTTGCTTTTTAACATTTTAAAGAGGTCTTTAGCAGCAGATTTGCCCAATGCAATGCATCTTTTGATTTCTTGACTGCTGCTTCCATGGGCGTTGATTGTGAATCCAAGTAAAATGAAATCCTTGACAACTTCAGTCTTTTCTCCATTTATCATGATCTTACTTTTTGGTCCACTTGTGAGGATTTTCGTTTTCTTTATGTTGAGGTGTAATCCATACTGAAGGCTGTAGTCTTTGATCTTCATCAGTAAGTGCTTCAAGTCCTCTTCACTTTCAGCAAGGAAAGTTGTATCATCTGCATACTGCAGGTTGTTAATGAGTCTTCCTCCAATTCTGATGCCCCATTCTTCTTCATATAGTCCAGCTTCTCGGATTATTTGCTCAGCATGCAAATTGCATCCGTGGTGAAAGGATACAACCCTGATACACACCTTTACTGACTTTAAACCATGCAATATCCCCTTGTTCTGTTCCAACTACTGACTCTTGGTCTGAGTACAGGTTCCTCATGAACACAATTAAGTGTTCTGGAATTCCCATTCTTCACAATGTTAGCCATAATTTGTTAGGATCTATATAGTCGAATGTCTTTGCATAGTCAATAAAACGTAGGTAAACATCTTTCTAGTATTTTCTGCTTTCAGCCAGGATCCATCTGACATCAGCAACGGTATCCTTCGTTCCATGTCCTCTTCTGAATCTGGCTTGAATTTCTGGCAGTTCCCTGTTAATGTACTGCTGCAGCCACTTATCAATGATCCTCAGCAAAATTTTACTTGTGCGTGATAATAATGATATTGTTCGATAATTTCCACATTCAGTTGGATCACCTTTCTTTGGAATGGGTACAGATATGGATCTCTTCCAGTCAGTGGGCCAGGTAGCTGTCTTCCAAATTTCTTGGCATAGACTTTGTTAAAACATCTCAATTTGTATTCCATCAATTCCTGGAGCCTTGTTTTTCGCCAGGGATTTCAGTGCAGCTTGGACCTCTTCCTTCAGCACCATCGATTCTTGATCATATGCTACCTCCTGCAGTGGTTGAACGTTGACCAATTCTTTTTGGTATAGTGACTCTGTGTATTCCTTCCATCTCCTTTTGATGCTTCCTGTGTCGTTTAGTATTTTCCGCATAGAATCCTTCAATATTAAAACTCAGGGCTTGAATTTTTTCTTTATTTCTTTCAGATTGAGAAATGCAGAGCGTGTTCTTCCCTTCTGGTTTTCTATCTCCAGGTCTTTGCATATTTCATTGTAATATTTTACTTTGCCTTTTCTCGAGCAGCTGTTTGAAATCTTCTGTTCCACTCTTTTACCTCAACATTTCTTCCATTTGCTTTAGCTACTCTATGTTCAAGAGCAAGTTTCAGAGTCTCTTCTGACATCCATTTTGGTCTTTTCTTTCTTTCCTGCCTTCAATGACCTCTTGCTTTCTTCATGTATGATATCCTTGGTGTCATTCCACAGCTGGCCTGGTCTTCAGTCATTAGTGTTCAATGAGTGAAATCTATTCTTGAGATGGTCTCTGAATTCAGGTGGAATACACTCAAGGTCATACTTTGCCACTTGCAAGCCCCCACAGTAGGACAAACTGACAGACACGTTGGGTTATAAAATACACACACACACACACACACACACACACACACACACAAACACACACTGGTGGAGTCGATTCTGACTCACAGTGACCTTACAGGACAGAGTAGAACTGCCCCATAAAGTTTCCAAGGAGCAGCTGGTGGATTCGAACTGCCAAACTTTTGGTTAGCAGCCAAGCTCTTAACCACTCTGTATGGAGCCCTGGTGGCACAATGGTTAAAGCACTCAGCTGCTAACCAAAAGGTCAGTGGTTAGAACCTACCAGCTGGTTAGAAACCACCAGCTGCTCAGCAGGAGAAAAGACCTGGCGATCTGTTCCTGTAAAGATTACACCCTAAGAAACCCTATGGAACAGTTCTACTCTATCCTGTAGGGTTGCTATGAATTAGAATCGACTCGACATCACACAGCAACAACGTATATATATGTATGTATGTGTATATATATATACATGTAATTTTTTATTGTGCTTTAGATGAAGGTTTACAGAGCAAATTAGTTTCTCATTAAACAATTAATACATTATTTTGTGGCATTGGTTACCAACCCCACAACGTGTCAATGCTCTCCCTTTCTCGACGTTGGGTTCCCCATTGCCAGCTTTCCTGTTCCCTTGTGCCTTCCTGTCCTTGCCACTGAGTTGGTGTGCCCGTTTAGTCTTGTTTTGTTTTATGGGCCTGTCTAATCTTCGGCCGAAGGGTGAAACTCAGGAGTGACTTTAGTACTGGGTTAAAAGGGTGTCCCGTTGCCATACTCTGAAGGTTTCTCCAGTCTCTGTCAGACAAGTAAGTCTGTTCTTTTTTTGTGAGTTAGAATTTTGTTCTAGATTTTTCTCCAGCTCTATCTGGGACCCTGTATTGTGATTTCTGTCAGAGCAGTTGGTGGTGGTAGTTGGGCACCATCTAGTTATGCTGGACTCAGTCTGGTGGAAGCTGTGATAGTTGTGGTCCATTAGTCCTTTGGACTAATCTTTCCCTTGTGTCTGGTTTTCTTCATTCTCCCTTGCTCCAAATAGGGTGGGACCAGTGGAGTATCTTAGATAGCCACTTGCAAGCTTTTAATACCCTAGACACTACTCACTAAAGTAGTAGACCGTTTTCTTTATAAACTATGTTATGCAAGTTGAGCTAGATGTCCCTTGAGACCATGGTTCCCTGCCCTCAGCCCAGCAATTTGGTCCCTTAGGGAGTTTGGATGTGTCTATGAAGCTTAGATGACCTTGCCTTGTACAAGTTGTGCTGGCTTCCCCAGTATTGTGTACTGTACTCTTCACCAAAGTTACCACTTATCTATTGTCTAGTTAGTGTTTTTCCCTCCGGTCCCCTCCCTTCCCTCGTAACCATCAAAGATTGTTTCTTTTTGTGTGTAAACCTGTTCATGAGTTTTTATAACAGTGGTCTCAAACCGTATTTGTCCTTTCGTGACTGACTTATTTCATTTAGCGTAATGCCCTCCAGATTCATGTGTTGTGAGATGTTTCACAGATTCATCATTGTTCTTTATCTTTGCATAGTATTCCATTGTCTGTATGTACCACAGTTTGTTTATCCATCCATCTTTTGATGGGCACTTAGGTTGTTTCCATCTTTTTGCTATTGTGAATAATGCTGAAACGAACATGGGGGTGCATATGTCTATTCGTGTGATGGCTCTTATTTCTCTAGGATGTATTCCTAGGAGTGGGATTGCTGGGTCATATGGTATTTCTATTTCTAGCCCTTTAAGGAAGCTCCATATTGTTTTCCAAAATGGTTGTATCATTTTACATTCCCTCCAGCAGTGCTTAAGAATTCCAGTCTCCTTCTTGCCTCTCCAACATTTGTTATTTTCTCGTTTTTTTTTTTTTGATTTGTGGCAGTAATGTCAGGGTGAGATGGTATTTCATTGTGGTTTTAATTTGCATTCCTCTAATGGCCAGTGATTGAGAGCATTTCCTCATGAGTCTGTTAGCCACCTGAATGTCTTCTTTGGTGAAGTGTCCATTCATTCATTTCCTTTGCCCATTTTTTAATAGGATTATTTGTGTTTTTGTTGTAGAGGTGTTGGATTTTCCTATAGATTTTAGAGATTAGAACTTTGTTGGATTTGTCAGAGCCAAGTTTTTTGTTCCTAGTCTGTAGGTTCTCTTTTTACTCTTTTGGTGAAGTCTTTTGATGAGAGTGTAAGTGT